ACCGTCTCCCGCAGTGGATTGGGCGGGGAGGTCCTGTACCCTGGCCAGCGTGGTCCCCAGACTTGACACCGCTCGATTTTTTTTGTGGGGTCATATAAAAATATTGTTTATGCGGAGTCCTGTGAAAGCGCAGAAGAAATGAGGCAGCGGATCGAAATGGCGTTTAGTCAAATCACTCGGCAGATGCTTCAAAGAGTAGAGCAGTCTCTGTACCGACGCACGGAAATATGCATATTGCATGGAGGTCGGCATTTTGAACCTTACCTGTAAATGTGTGAAATGTGCCAGCAGTGCGTGTAGTGATTGTACTTATTATTCAAAATTATCGTAAACAAGTCAATATTTCGTACATTGTACAACAGTGAATTACAATTCGTAGGAAATTCATTAAAACGTGTATGAATTGCACAGTAGGTAAGTACCAATTAAAAAAGTATCCACTATTGTAAAATTGTCGTAAATAAATGTATTAATACAAAATTATGTAGAATGTGTATACGATGAAGGCGTGCGTAACTACGGGCTTAATAAGTAAATAAATATCCTTTAAATTGTATGTAAATAAGTACGTACCTAGGTATGGTATAAAATAATATTGTTAGAAATAATTCGATTTTTCTAGGTATTTAAAGATTTTGTTACTTAATATTAACGTGTTATCAACATATTCAAATCATGTTTTTACAGTGGCATTTCAATTGTAGTCAGCTGTTCTTTCGCCCCGCTTGCGGCCGCCCAGGTTTCATTAATGAATTTGTGAAGTCGTAGTAACGTAACTAGCAATAGAGTTGTGACGCAGTGGTTGTTTCGGACAATCACTATTTATACAAACATAATTAAAGTTATATCAACATTAAAAGTCACTTATTTTTATTTGATATTTTGCACAGAGGGTCTAGATCAAGTATAGGTTTGGCTCCTTTAATATGACTACACCTTGCGGTTACACCCTGTATATATCGGCATACGGCGTCTCCTGTAACGTACCTGCCCTATCAATGCGTCGCGGCCAATTTGTCTAACTATTTTGTAGTTATTTCAGAATAGTATTAAGCAATGTTGGTGGTATTACGATTCTATAACCCCCACATTATGCAACCTCGTTCAACGTACAATTCATGGCGCGTCACAAAATAGGGTTTCGGGACTTGCTCAGCACAATGTGGCGGTCAGCCCGATTGTATGTAAACCATAACTTTACTAAACACCGCGTCCCTAGATGTAGCTAGCCGGACATCATTGTTCGTATCGTAACCGGTAGAAAGATATCTATGAAATTCAGATATCAGTTCATATATTCAGTCCGCGCAGTTTTTCGCTGAAGTCACAAATATTGTATATCGTACGTATTTAATCCTGAGAGTAATATAGCCCACTCTGCAACCGCAAAGGTGCCATAATGGGAATGCCTAACCTATTTCCGAATATATAAGTTAAAGGTTTGTGATCAGTTCTCAATAAAAATTTCCTTCCGTACAATATAAATATTGATGGAATTTCCTTGTCCCGTATATAATAGCTAACGCCTCTCTGTCAATTTGCGCGTACGACCGTTCTGCGGCGGTTAACGTCAGCGACGCGTATACGGTAGGACGTTCGCCGTCTGGCATGAGATTATTTAGAAAAAGAGGCTCACAGAAATATTCGTTTGATTCCATCACAACTTTGCCAAAATACGTCACCACATGTTCCGAAGGGTAAGTTTAGTTTGTTTTGTTTAATGGTTTTAAATTCCCAATGACTAATCCAGGTTTCGTATGAACTTTCTTCTGTGGTAAGGTCGCTTTTACAATCTTCACATTTGACTATCTGTGTAATTTTACGAACTGACCACCCCGCAGTGTATGCACTTGAGTGTACGTGTAAACTTTCACGACGCACTTGCACGATATTTTCAAATTCAACATTAATTGATAATTTAGTGGGTAGTACAAACGTCCTCAATAACATACATACAAAAAAAAACATACAGTCGAATTGAGAACCTCCTCCTTTTTTGAAGTCGGTTAAAAATATATATACAAAAGAGATTTGTAGCGACCGCTGCTATTCGCGACACTGCTGACTCTGCTGTCCAACAAATTTGATGTTTTCTAATTTTTTTATATCTTCGTTTCAAAGGCGTGATATAGTGAATTTTGTGTCACTGCTTTTCTGAGATATTTTCCTTTGGATTTTATATGACTGAGAGTGGTTCCGTTGGTTGAATCGAAGACGTCATCGAAAAACGACGCAGTTTCTGCTGTATTCCTTAGGGTCTTGCTAACTTCACGGCCATCTGAGTAGTGAGCTCAAATGGAAATATTATATTATAGAAGTCAAGTAAAAGAAAGGAGCAGAAATATGGATATTATATTATTTATTTATTTAATTATTTATTGTACTGAAAAAACAAAAACGCACATTTAGTAACAAGGAAAGCCCAAACAAAAGGTACTGCTTATTTCTAATAGAAATTTGTTCCTGCACACCGAAATACAGGAGACAATGTGCACAACAAAACAAGATACATAAAATTATTAAAACTACATAAATACTTAGATAAATACGTATTTCGTACTATAATACCTATAAAATTGATGGAACAGTCGATAAATAGTTCTCCTTAACTCTCATTTTGAAAATTCCTAAGGATGTACTATCATGAACAGTAATAGGAAGTGCATTCCAAAGTCTGACCGCATTAACAGTGAAGGAGTGAGAATAGAAAACAGAATTGACGGATGGAAAGATAACTGAGACCTAACGAGAGAGCGACAGGGCTTATGCTGGGACCTGAGAAAGCTGAAACGCTCTTTCCGATATCTTTTAGACACGTTTATGTAAGTAATTCACATTATGTTTCTTGATATTGAGATAAATAAAGTAAATAAAAACACCTCGAAATTGAATTGTTTAGAATTACTACCAACCTTGAACTTTTTGAATTATATAGTACCTATTTGGAGAGGAAATGCACAGGGCAGCCCCACAAGCTATGATTCAAAACTTTCAGAATGGCTAGTCAAATCTAGCGCCCATTGAGATTACTCAAAATATTAATTTTGAATCAAGGCTTGGTGTTGCCCTGTAACATGTATTTTCTCGCGGAATACTATAAATTTGTTCTGAGTTAACGATTAATTGATCCTTATTCTTATTATTTTATAAACAAGCGTCATTAACACATCCTGCTATTAACTATTGTAATAAAATAACATTAACTATGGTTATGTATTACCTACAGCATTTTTATTTATTTATGTAATAGGTAAGATATATAAGTAACATTCTGTACGTAATTTAAATTATTAGTTTACAATTATTATTATAAAAAGTGAAGTTTGTCCTTAATTATCATCATGATATCAGCCGGAAGACATGTGGCAATCCGTTGAGCTCACAGCCGTCCTGTGGAATAAGCCCATCTCCACTTGGGCGTAAGTAATTTTTAATCGACTTCACATCAGCACGTAGCTCATCAATGCTGTTCACTAGTGTGGCACCATCTATTATTGGATTACGCGATTTATCTTTCCGACACTGACCACGTCGCCAGTTAACCCGTGGTTTGCTTCGAACACCCGTGCACGAATATGCGGACAACAGGCACTACGTTTAACCGCTGCCGTGTTAATATAGAAAGAAAGTAGAGAGAATGAAAAAAGAAAATCCATTTATTGGTTTACCACAATGACACCACAAAAGAAAAAGAAAAAGAAAACGAAACAAAACAGAACATAATCAAAACATTCAACGTAAAACATAAATAAATAATTACGAAACATAAACTAAGCAAATATATATATTTAAAAAATTGATTAAATTAAAACAAACTGCCTCTGTGGCCGAACGGTTATCATGCCGGACTGCCACGCAGAGGTTCCAGGTTCGATTCCCGGGCCGGGAGAAATAGTTGTATGGCCTACAATTATTTCTCTCGTGAGTTTGGGTGTAATTTGTGGTTGTCTACGTGTGTGTCCATGGCACCCGCGACACAGGGTTTCCCTAGTGCGGGGCTATGTTGAGTGTGTGCGTTATTTATATTTAAACTATTGACACACATCATATAATACGGTGGTGTTAATTTCATTTAAACTTAACTCATGTAACCTTTTCAACAGAACAATTTTCTAATGACTAAGAGAATGTTGTTTTTAAATTTAAAATATGCGATCTATCAAGATTTGGGTCTTCGACTTTGGGCTTGTAATAGAGTCTTGTTTGTAATTCCTTATTTACTGCCTTTAATACACAAGGTACTATTGAGTATTAATAAATGTCATAATATTTCTATGCCTTTTATTTTTCATCTCTTTGTAATATAAACTTATTGCGTTGACATGAATTTTGGATAATTCACCGATTACCAAATCCACGATGAACCACATTTATTCTAAAAAAAAAAAACATTTTTCATCCGCAACCTCTGCATATTTGAACGATGAAAAATTCGCACCCGCTACTGCTATACTGTATTCGCCTACGTTCAAAGACAGTGTTGTGTATAGTTTGTTGTTGCATTCACGTGACTATTACCTAACACTGTCCGTCAGGTATGGGCGTTGTAAGCCCTTGGTATTTACATCAGTTATTATCGGACAAAAACTAAACATGTAAATCTCTTTACAGTACCTATACCAATTGTAATTTTGCATTTCATATTTTTACACATATACATAAAACAGTTAACAAATAGCTACTAACATTACCAACTTGCTACTAAATATGATGTAAAGGCACCTTTAACCATCTTAGAGTTCATAGGTCACCGTTTACTTACCTTCTAACGCGTTATACCATCTTCGGCAGTTACTAACCAGGCTCTAAGTGAGATAGACCAGCGCCTTGACTATAAAAAAAGTTTACGTATATTGAAAAATATTTGATTTTTATAAAAAAATTGTTCGTTTTTTTAATTGAGTAATCAAAAAAAGTATTCTTCTAAAGGGACATAAATACTTTTTAGTGAAAATTATCAATCATTACCATAAGTGAAAAAAAAAATACATTCAGTGCCGACTGGTTATTTCGCGCCATTTTTTTTTCTTCAGAACCTAGCGTACAAGACAATAACGAATATGCAGTTTCTTACAGGAGTTTGTTTGGTAAGTTTTTTTTATAATATATGATTGTAAGTATGTTTATTTCATAGTAGGTACAAGGCACTTAAGGAAAAATAAAACACTAAAAAAAAATCTATTACAAAAATTTAAATACTAGAAAATTTTATTATGAGAAAATTTCTTCGAGGGCCGCTCCCTGGAGCATCGTGCCCAGAAGACTAGTAACATTTCCCCACGGAAGTAGTATTTATGTGGTCTGTGCATTTCCCCTATGAATAAGTAATCTTATTCTTTGGCGGAAATAACTGCCAGCTCTGTGGTCACCGGGGGCTTGTACTAAGTGATCTGACATCCCGTTCGCTATAAATTTCAACTGGCTCCCAGGGACCCAAAATGTGGCACTGAGCAAGATTGGCGGTTCTCGGCCGCATTGGTGACAGAGCATGCGCCATCCACGCTTTCAAGGACATTACAGAAATAAATATTAAGAGGGAGCAGAGCAAAAATTCCTAATCTTCGATTTGATTTTAAAAGGGTATATCCACTTTAAAGTTAAAAATAAAATATTGTGTGAGTAACTACACGATATATTAGAATTATAGACATTAATCAGAAACATAAAACAATAAAGTTTCCTCGATAGATAAAAATCACGAAATGACCTCTAATTTTCACATTTTTTCGATTTATCCTCGAAATGCAGGTTATTAGGACAAAAATTAGATAATTAATTATATTTATGCATGATCGAGAACTGTCACTACGGATTTTTTTTTAGTTTTAGAGTTATTCCGCTAAAACGAATTTGGTACTTTTAGGGTCGTATTCTAGAACTCTACTCAATGCTCAAGTCAGGATTGCACTGGAAATACGACCCTAATGGCAGGGACTCGAGTATGATTTCGAGTGCTTTAAACCCTACTCAAATCCTGACTTGAACATTGAGTAGAGTTCTAGAATACGACCCTTAATACGCAAAATTCAACATCTCCTGTCGCATGTCACGCGAACTTCAGGCATATATTTGTTTCACAAATTTGGGCGGAGCCAACGTCAAAACTTTTTTGCCATGCTCCCTCTTAATAATAACTTATAAATATTAATAATAATGTTTCTTATTCAAAGGTATTCGTAATACACACAGTAAATAAAAATATTTTTTCGTATCTAAGCACGTTTCAGACCCTATGCAGGTGCCATGGTCACGGATGACTAATAATTGCTGATGTCAATAGATTGTGCGGTTAGGGCAATTTACAATCTGGGCCCCAGAGTATTTTTGAGAGATAAGTTTAAAGAAATTAACATTCTTACATGCGTTAAGAGAAATAGTAATTTCTCTAAGAAAAATAGTGACAGACGTAACATTAATACGAGGAATAAAAATAAACTAGATGTTCTTGATAGTCGTCTTCACAAAGTTACAAATTCATTTAAGGCGATGTATACGTTTCTATAACAAGATTACGGTTGATATACAAAATTTGCCATTCACGAGATTGCAAACTATAGTGAAACAAAAACTTTATACTAAAGGTTATTTACAACTTCTTCGTACTTGGATGCAAAAATCCGTGGTAGTAACCCATTTAGCTCATGGTAAAAAAATATATTGTAAATGTTGAATGTGTACAAATGTTATTTACAAAGAGCAACCCCTACAGTTTCTTGCTCATTCTTCTCAGGCGAATCTGCCTTACGGATGAGCGGTGGAGTTTAACCAATGTGACGATTTCAAGTGTAATAACGCTTACAGTATACGCTATGAAATAAAGATTATTTTATCTAATAATAATTGTTTATTTTCGGATAACTTAGATCCATCAAAAATTTACAGTGCAGACTTGAAACTGTGTTAATACGGAATTTCGAGTAGGTATACCGTTTCTCATCTGCAATCACAACATCAAAACTTGTCGAATTAGGTATAATACAACTATTGCCACACATCCCGTACCTATTCACCAGCAGCTTGATTTTGATTGCCTCTCCCGATCGTAAACTGCGTCTTTTCCGAGTAGAGGCGCATAATTGCGATTCACAATTTGACATTTCTGTTCATTTCACAAATTAGAAAAATATAAGTAGTAGGAATCAGGTTCATCTTCTCGCTCAGAAACCCATCTGGTTTCGAGACTACCCGAGCGGATCGATTCCCATTTGAATCACAATTAGAACGCAGATTTGAGCCCATTTGACTTTCATATCTGATTTTGACTGATTTGCATCAAATGAGAAAATGATAACTGAAACAGGGGCTTGTTTTTCAGTTTGACAAAAAATATTTTTTTGTTGGGTTAAAGAAGTTGGAGTGTATGCTGGTTAAGATAAAAAAAATGTTTTTCACTTCTCATGCTCTAAAAGTACATCATTATAGCCTTACGTAGCGGGAGTAAAGTGCATCTTTTTATCCCTTGGGAGTAAAAACACCTAATTTTTTATTTTCTTCAAGTGAACAAACTGAAACAGCCAGTAGTACGCTCGGTTTTAGTTCCGTGCCTTTTCCGCATAGATGGTGGCGCCATATTATTTTCCCGTGTTTGGTTGGAAAGTTTAATGGGCCTTATATTACTTAAATATCAACTCTCATTTGCACTGAAATCAGAAATTAGACAGCTGCGCTAACACCTGACCTGTGTGTACGTCTCCGTATATTCGAAAAATATTCTGTATTTATTGTAATGAAGATAATATCTCTAAAAATGGGGGGCTGTTCTATTCGGTGGAGTGGGAAAAACAGCAAAACATGAAATTACAAAACAGAAGCACATTTCATCGGTAATTAAATATGTAATTTTTCAATATTCGTTAATTATAGCAAAGCTCAAGTTTCCAATCGACCAGTTTGGTCGATTTGAAGTGAAACAATTGACGACAAACAATTGTTTCGAATTCGGGCTGGCCAATCGGAGCGCAGTTGTCACCGTTTTCAAATAAATTTAATGACATTGTCGCCACCATCCGTGGCACTTCCGTGGACGAACTCTTTCACTATAAGCTTTACAACTACTTTGTAAATAAGTTTATTAGAATTATAAAATTTCCTCATACGTAATGATAGCACGCATTTTTTAAATTAAAATATTTACATCTATTCATTATAACAAAATAACCTTGTTAGTTACGTACCAGCGTTATTTCCTGTGCGTGTTGTAATAAATAAATGTTAAAATTTATTTCATATTCACTTAATCATGTCAATTTAACTTCACAATTAAAGACCTCAATGACCTAACGGTTTACATTGTGGGTGCTGGATGCTGTATCCTCGGCCGGGTCAATGTAGAAAAACAAACTTTTTCATCACACTTGCTCGTAAACAGTGTCACGACATGCAGGCAAAGTCGCCTGTAATGTCCTAAATTATACCCACGTGCTTTTTCATTACAATGTCGCCCTATGATTTTTTTTACGTCAAGATTAAGCAAAATATTTTATGCTCGAAAAATCTGAACGTATAAAAAACTAAATATTTGCAATAGAATTATATTTTACTAAATTTATTCTGTGAATTGGAATTCTGCAGTATTTTTAGAATTTGAAAATTATTATATTTATTAAATAATTGTGGCTGCGTGCGTCTGTGCCTTTTAAAACGTTTTACCATCGTTTTAGTTAGAGCATATAGGTTAGTTCGAGTTGTATTATGTATGGAAGAATAAATGGCAATCTGTTAAAAAAAAAACCCTCCATTTGCAAATTCCATAAATGTTGTGAGGCGATGTTTATTCATACAAGTAATAAATTATCGTTGTATGTATTTCCGCGCAAATGTGATGAAAAACATTGTATGTAGCTCGGGTGGTAAAAATTACAAACCTCGAATCAATAAAGAGCTGGCTTATAACAAACTCTCGTTAGTAATTACGTACCGCCCATAATACACAATTGTAAATTGTAAAGTAGGGACGTTCTTTCGTCCGTTGGATGAGGTAACCAAAACAAATCGAGTTCTTAGGTTTTTGCGATTGTTACATGAAAAATAATTGCATTTCCTTACCAAAACAAGCCAAGTGAAACTCCAAATTGTTGTTTGTTCAATTGACCGAAAATCATGTAAAGCTGCTGTGCTCAGGTGCTGGTAGTTGCGTAAACAGAATTCTTTTATGGTCTACGAATGTTTCAGTAGGCATGTCGGTTTCTTGCTTAATTCCGACTATTTCTTGATATATAACGTAAGCCGGCACATTGTTTTTGTTTTGTTAATTGTAAATTGAAAAGTGTAATAATAATAAATGAAAAAAAAAAAATTTTTTTTTTTTTCATTTCAATGTATTGCCATTTTAAATACAGTAAATTACATTTTTTTTAATTGTAAAACCAAACCAATTGATTTTTTATTATTACAATTAAGAATAAATAACTTGAAGTCAAAAACGTCATGCAAAACGTCAGATCAAAACAAACATGTCTCAAGGTGACGGGCGCAGTAGCAGTGCCTTAGATCTTTGCGATTTAAAGCTCTGAGTGACACTGCGACTATTATGGACAGGCGTGTAGCTTACCACCAGGCGCACGACTTGCTCGCCCCGTTACTTGATATTATAAAAAAACAACATACACAAACACATCTAAATTTGAAAGTTTATGAAGACTAAATTGCATCATTGTCGAGTTGTCTAAAAAACTTAATTGCTCAAATGTGTTCACCCACTTGACACACATAAGTGGTTCACACTTATCGAAGCGAATAAATGTGTTAAATACAGTGTGCCAAACGTAAGGAAATGTAATAAAGTTATAAGTAAAGATTATTCACATATCTTTGTCGAAAATGTCCATGGCAATACTCATTCTCACTGGCTCATCCAAGGCCTTTTGAGAATCGGATGAAGTCCATGCAAATGGGCTGATCTGGGGTTAGGACCTGGCTAAGGTGTTCTCTGTGCGGGCTTGTTCGCACAGGTTATAGTGCCCTTTCTGCATGACCAAGAGCACAAAAAGGTTGATAGAGAGGGTCACTAAAAACAAAACTTATGTAGGAATAAAGATATGGGGAAGAAAGATACGGGCCTGTCCATGACGACATTGAACATAGATAC